AGGTCTTTGGCAACGTTTAAAAAACGTTGCAAAAAAGGTCTTTTGCAACGTTTAAAAAACGCTGCAAAAGACCTTTTTGCAGCGTTTTTTAAATGTTGCCGTATCTCTTCCCTCTTTGGCAACATTGAACTTTGCAACACATGATAAAACGTTGCAAAAGGCCTTTTGCAGCGTTTTTTGGCCGCTGCAAAAGGCCTTTTTTGGCGTAGTGGTATGTTGTAAATTATATGTTTCTTTGTAAATGACCATTATACTCCTACATGTTATTATGAATTTATGACTATTGTATCTCTTGTAACACTAATTATTTCCTATAAATATTGAGATTTGGTTCTCAATAAAATATACAAAAGTCTATTGACTTCTTTACTTTCTTTCGTCTCTCTTTATTTTCTTTCAAGTCATGGTTATCTTTTTTCACTAATGGACCAATGATTATTTTTCACATAATTCATGGGTATACATGTTTATTAAACCAATTGTTAGTTGTGTGCATTAGGCCAATTAGGCAAGTCGAAAATGTGAATGGCTGAAGAACATGTCCCACCATACCCAAGTATTATACAAATTATCTTCAACAGAAGATAGCCCAACAATATTGTATAAAGATAATGCAACTTGCATTAGACAGCTCAAATGAGATTATATAAAAGGAGATAAGATAAAGCATATTTTTCCAAAATTCTTTATACACCGAGCTTCAGAAGCCTAGTGATATTATCTTAGAGATCTCATTATTGAAGATCAAACAGTCATTCTTGATTTCTTGATTCTACCCAAGTATCATAGTTTCATATAATTGATCCCAAACATTATCCCATCATTAGTAGAGCATTGTTGTAATTTAAGAGTTAGTTATTTGAAAGCCAAATACATATTCCAATATCTTTTGTCTCAGCCTACAATCAAAACACAAAAAGAACTTAGATCAAACACCAAAACAAAATCCTACCTTCGCCAATCAGCCTTTAGATTTCAAGAGTTTCGGGAAGTAGTCCTTGGAGTTCCGGCACTCGAGAACGAGGTTCACTCTTGTTGATCCAGACGAAGAAAAAAGTAGCTCAAAGTTCTAAGAAGCGCGATTGTGCACAACCAAAGGAGTTTCTTAGTGATTTACAAGTTAGGTAGCCAGAGTTAACTAAGGTTTAGTAGTGTTTGGAGTAATTGTAAGTTAACTTTTCTAGTAGATTTTAGTGGCAAGTTTGTTCAAAGGTTTTTATATCCTGTGTTTGGGATTTTCCTCCATGGTCAATTTTAGTGTTATTTATTGCTTTTGATCTCATTGTTTTATTTTATTGACACTTACGATTAATTTAATTGGATTAATTAACCTTAATTATCTAGCAATCAATAAATAGTGACTTGTTGCTTTTTATTGTTAATTCCGTATAATTGGGTCTAAACATAAATTTTAATTCAACACAGTGTATTGCATTTAACAATATATATATATATATATATATATATAAGTAGTTGACAGAATCATTTACCTGGAGCCATATATTCAGTGGTGCCCAATGTCTTTTTAATTGAAATTTTCTGGTCTTCTGTTAAAAGCTTGGAAATGCCAAAGTCTCCAACATGGGTAACCATAGCTTCATCTAAAAGTATGTTGTTGGGCTTCAGATCACAATGGACAATCGGAAAGGGACACCCATAATGTAGATACTCGAGTGCAGACGCCACATCTATCATTATTTCCAATCTTTGAGCCACATTTAGGAAATAGTTGCTCGAGGATAGCCATTTTGTAAGGTTTCCATTAGGCATATATTCCAGCACCAAGGCTTTAAGATCAAGGTTAGAGCAACTACTAATTATCTTGACAAAATTTCTGTGACGAATGTTGTGCAATATTTGGCACTCAGCATCAAAACATTGGTTTGCACCTTCCAAATCTAGATTAAAAACCTTAATTGCAGCTATCATTCCATCTCGAAATATTCCCTTGTACACTAAACCAGTACTACCTTTGCCAATAAGATTCTCTTCACCAAAATTATCGGTAGCATTTAGAACTTCATGATATGAAATTTTCTTGACAGTGATGGGGGAAGTAGAGTGAGCAGGTAGAATTGTACTTCTGCTACGGCGTCTAATTACATAAACCACAGTAATGACCAGACTCAATACAACAGCAATTGATGGTAAAATGTACTTCAAAATTCTGGTATTGCTTGATAATCTAGTTGTATTATCTTTGCATCGCTTAACCTTAAACTGAGATGCTCCACACAATTCTCTTACAAAAAAATCTGACGTGAACTTCTTAAAAGGCCATCCATTTGGAATTTCACCAGAGATCATTCAATGAAACATTGAAATACTCGAGGTACTCTAGTCTCTTCAATGATTTGGGGATTGCACCATCGAGATTGTTCTTGGATAGATCCAAATTTTTCAGTGAAATCAGATTCCCAAATGACTTGGGTATATGACCGTGTAACTGATTGTTATCAAACACCTCAACAATCGATTGCTCAACCCACCACAAAGGATAACTATGGTTGCCCAATTGAATAACCCACGAAGGGAGAATGGTGGCTGCAATGATCACACAAAAGAAGTGATTAAAAGGTAGCAGATTTTAGGTCACTACACACGGCACAAAGGAGAGGAATGAAGGAAAAAAATGCCTGCCCTCCATTCAAATTCTGAACACAGGGTTTCTCTCAACAAGCCAAATGGGTATATATAACATTAGGGATAATGCAAGATGGGCCAAGATAGGTGACGTTGGCTGATACAATTAGAAGGGACGTCCAACTAATGAAGGGGCCATGAGCAACCATTAATTATAATGTTGCTTCCAATGGCCCAATTTGTTTTAGGGTCGAGCCAATCAATTGTTCACAACTAATTGTAAAGTTTTGAACGCCAAGCCTATGAAATCAATCCGATCGTTAAACATCATTGCATGTTGGAGGTTGTTTGGCAGCAATTACCCAATTGATAATTATAATTGTTTCTCATGAAATAGAGAACAATGGGTATTAAAAATTAAATAGAGCAAGAATATCCAATATAAAAAAACACAAGCAAGAAAACCTATCTATCATGAATTGTTCAAAGCCACTCATAAATCATTTTTTTTATCAAACTTATTTTCAATTGCACATTCTCTCGGCAAAAAAATTATTCGTAATTCCAAAACTTTTCCTTATTCTTAAATAGAATTACTTTTTACAAAATTATTCTAAAAAGGGGATCAAACACAAGCATAGTGAGATGGACCAGGCTTTGTATCCGAGAGTACATTTTGTGATACAAGTATGAGGATGATTTCTCGGCTCCAAACCCTCTTTCTCATTATTTATACAGTACAATCTTGCTGATAAAAAAAAAAAAAAAACAGAGTGAGATAGAGGGGGAAAGAGGCAGAGGGATTGTTTTGTGGTGGAAAGTGAAGGTTTTGTGTTCAAATTTAAGTTTTCCTAAACGAACACAATTGATCAAAACTCAAAATTACAACACGTCAAGGTAAGGTTGAGTAACATGTAAAACATTATAAAGTTAATAGTTTGTTCCTCCTATGGCAAATAAAGAGAAAATCCCATTTATAAGTGAAGAATTTTTTCATGAAATTTTCATTTGTTTGGTCGGAAAAAATAATAATAATAATAAGCATCGTTGGAACTTCTCAAACAAGGACTATATGATTTGGAAAGTAATTTTTTTTTTATTTCCGATTTTCATTTTTTTCCCTATAGTAACTCAAACAAGTGTAAAATAAATTTCTTGTATAAAAGTATTATACAATATTGAAATTTTTTTTAGTAACATATAAAGTATGTTTGTAATGCCCCGACCCGCATGGATCAAAATGTCACAAGAATAACTTTACTTTACCCGTAGACCATAGACTTAATTAAATAATTAACTATAAAGCAACATACCGTATATGCAACATACGGGATATGCAACTTACAACAACATACCGTATATGAAACTTACCGGATATGCAACAAACATACCATAAATACAACTTACCGTATATGCAACTTACCAAATATGCAACCAGCATACCATATATACAACTTACCGTATATGCAACTAACACGTCGTATATGCAATTATTGACATGAAATAAAAAAAAAATGTTGCTGCTTTTATTTTCTATCTCAATGGCAATTTCAAAAATAATTTCTTTTGCACAGCTATCGACCACGAAACTTCTTGAAATTTTATAGTAAAGTAGGAAATTCTTTATATTATGACATATCCAAAAATCCGCTTCCATTGGCAACATATGAGGTATTAAAATATGTTTCAAAATCCAGCAACGACTCGGTTAGAAGGTAACCCAGTGCAGTTTATGTCGGATCGATAGGATTTCAAATTTATTCAGTAGCTAATCCACGAGGGTATCAAATTCCACTGGTTTTGTCCAAAAATTCTGAGTAACGATTGAGTTACGAATTTTTAAAGTCAAGGGCTGAAGCTGAAAACAGCAACACTATCTAGTGCAGTTTGCTTTAAAGAACATATAAAATTCTACCGACATCGGATCGACGGGATTCCAATTTTATTCAGTACCTAACCTATGATGCTATCAACCACCACTGATTTTGTCGAAAAACTTCAAGTAACGATGGAGTTATGAATTTTTGAATTCTAGGGCAGAAGCTGAAAATTTAGAAAAACAGCAACACTATATCGTTAATACTTTCTTTTGTGGTAAATGGTGACTTGTAAGTTAATTTCTTTAACACATAACTTATTTATAAAAATGTTCTTAGAATAGTTCCACATATGATGTTCATAGAAATCAAATAAAAATCTGTTAAAAAAATGAATGTTGCATATTTGAATTAAAAACGTTAAGTCATTAGCATCTCCATAGCATGTTGCATCATCCTCTACCATTATCCACATCCCAAGCATATCAAATCAACATGTAAGAGGGGAATTCACCCATGAGTTAGAAACTCTGTATTTCATTATCAAATTAGAAATTTTGAACTATGGATTCTTACCGTCACACGTAGAGGGATTTCCAGTAAAGTCCGATTTCTATAGAAATATCATAACACGTAGAGCCGGAGAATGATCATTCAAACTACAGTAGTGTCGAAGCACCGTACCCGGAGGTACCAATTCATTCAAACTTTTTAACGAAAAATCATACTTTGAAAATTAAATAAACACTTGCACCTCTACCTACCTTCGTTTGACGCTTTTGAAATGATGAAGTTGGACGTAAATATTGCTTACTGAATACAACCCATGCCATTAAACAATCTCCTTCACTTTTCTTTCCCTTACTTGACAATTTTTTTTTTTTGTTCAAAGTGTATAAATTTCACATATATTAGAAAGTGTGTAGTTTGGAAATGAAAGGTAAGAAAACAGTTGCATTCATCACTTGCCAATTAAAGAGAATTTAAAATGGGTGAATTGGTTAATTGTAGTTTCATTCCTTATGTTATACGTGTGTTTGTACAATTGTTAAATGTATATGAATATAATTTGTGGTTTAATGCAACATTTCAGCTTAGCTTACCAATTATGAGATTTAATGTCTTGACTATTCACCCAAACTATGAAAACGTGTGTGAGTATGATTGAAGAAAATGAAATGAATTGGGTTTTTAAATTTAAATTCTCATCCTTGGTCCCTAAACTTTATTAAGTTAACAAAGTAAATAAATAGTGTCGGATATTTGTCTTTAATTTCTTTTCTCTTTCCCAAGTAGATTTTTCTACTCCATGATTACTCCATTGCACTTTGAGTAGTTGAATCTCCTTATTTCGTAATTTGTGTACCTTTTGGTCCAGTCTTTTAATCGGTAATTCATCATACGATAAATCTTTCCATACTTCCAGGGATTGATAATTGACCACGTGATTAGGATCATGCATATACTTTCTGATCATCGATATATGAAATACGTTGTGAAGTGCCGATAGTTCGGGCGGCAAAGCCAATCGATAGGCCACATTTTTCGATCCTATCAAATATTTCGAAAGGTCCAATATAACGAACCTAAGTACACCCTTTATAGGTGACAATTTTAGAAAAACTTTCCTTTCTTTCCGAACCTAAGTACACCCTTTATAGGTGACAATTTTAGAAAAACTTTCTCTCCAACTTCAAATTCCAAGTCTTTTTTTTTTGTATCAGCATAGGTCTTTTGTCTATCTTGTGCTGCCTTATCCTAGTAGAGATGTTATCAATGGCTTCAACTATCCTTTCAATGATCTTTGGTCCCAAAACTTTCTTTTCTCCAACTTTATCCCAATGAACAGGTGATCTACATCTTCTACCATAGAGAGCTTCATACGGTGTCATTCCAATAGTTGCTTGAAAACTATTATTATATGCAAATTCCACCAAATGTAGTTATGATTCCCAACTACCTCCTAGATCCAAAACATAGGCTTTTAGCATATCTTCCAAAGTTTGAATGGTCTTTTCAGACTGACCATCGGATTGAGGGTAATACGCTGTACTGAAATTCAGTTTCATTCCCATAGCTCCTTGTAAGCTCTTCCAAAACTTAGACGTAAATCTTGGATCTCTATCGGACACAATAGAGATGGGGACACCATACAATCTTACAATCTCTCTAAAATACAACTATGCCAACTGATCTAGGCTAAATGTCATTTTCACGGGAAGAAAATGAGCGGACTTCGTTGGACGATCCACTATTACTCATATAGCATTGTGTTCTCTTGTGGACTTCGAAAATCCTACCACAAAGTCCATTGCGATTTTCTCCCACTTCTATTCAGGTATCTCTAATGNTTTTGCCACAAATAGACCTATACTTCTTTTAATATTCCTTCACCAAAATGTATCTCGAAGATCTCGATACATTTTCGTACCACCAGGATGTGCGGCGTACGGGGTGAAATGAGCCTCTTCTAATATCTCCTTCCTCAAAACTCCATCTTTAGGCATACAAATTCTTCCTTTAAACATTAGTGCTGATCTGAAGCTATTCCAAAATCCTTTCTGCTATCGGTACCAGTGTCTTTCCCGAACTTCTGTAAAAATGGATCTTTCCCTTGTGCTTCTATAATTTAATCTCTGAGAGTTTGTCGAACCACCAAAGTTGCTAAACAAACGCTACTTTGCTCTGGTGTTGTAACCACTTCAATTTGCAAATTTTCCAAGTCTTCGATCAACTTATCTGAATAGTAGGTAACGATGCCAATTGTCCCATCGACTTTCTACTTAGAGCATCAGCAACAACATTGCCTTACCTATATGGTAATAAATAGTGCAATCATAATCCTTTACTAGCTCCAACCATCACCTCTATCTCATATTTAGTTCCTTTTATGTGAAGAAATATTTG